TTATGCGATTATAATTATTTATTTATGCAGTATTTTTTTCTTTGATATTTATATTTATGTTAATAAATAATAATATTTTAATAATATATTATATTAATATATATTATAATTAATATAATTTATTTATATTATTTACAAAAATGATAAGAACTACTAAGTCAGTCACTAAGCTCTGGATAGTTAAATTACAATATACTAACATTTTTAAACTTGTGATATCTTTCGAATGGAATGTCCGAATTTAATCATTCAAAAAGTTATATAAAGATATTGAAACATTCTTAAATATAAAGTAATTTATTTTTATAAGGATTAATACCAAGATACAAATAAAGAGCCTTTTCTAGCGGCGGCATTTCAATCAAAATTTTAAAGTAAAAGAATACTTATTGTGGCATAACTATAATAGTTAGAATATACTGTCGCAACACTTTTTATAAATAATGATGTGTTCAGCAAATTCGTACTACATTATTTTATTCTATTATCAAAAGTTTTAGCAGCGCACGCGATGCAAACAATATTTTAGGTAATTTTTGTACACTTTGGGTTACATTATTCAAGTTTTAGTAACGATTCCTAGTTTTTTGAAAACATAATATATCCTATGTCATCCGGGGATAATGTAGCTTCCAGACAGTGAAATAAATTTTCAAATCTGTTCAGTGGTTTAGGAGCCTATTCAATGCATAAAAACAATCAAATCTTTCCTCTTGCGTGATAGGCGGAGTGGGTGGTGTTAGGTTTTATTTTCGTTACGGAATTTATTGATTCGGTCGCCGCGCTCAAAGCCCGCGATAAAAGCTGTGCAATAGCTTAAAAAAATATTGTTTCGTTTTTTTAATTTGACTCTTCCATGCTCTTCGCCAGAACTGTCGCTATGTCGATCCTGGGTGGAGCAAGCCCGCGAGGTCAATTTATACCTCCGACACGAGGTTCTGGCTCCGCCTTTTTATGTTCACTCTAGGGATAGGGAAGACCACACGGAGTCGGGGTGCTCTGTGTCGGATCTTTGTGCTTTTTCTTTATAGTTCTCTATCATTTAATTATTTTTGTTATCTATATCGAAGTAGTAACCTGCTAAAATTTTATCGTTTTAGGCTTTGGCATCTGAAACAACAATTGAGTTATAAGAGGTATAAGTGTTGTATGTGATAACTGTGCCATAAAAATAAGTCTTTGATAATTTAAGTTGAGACCCACTACATTTTTACATAACTGTCTCTTTTTTTCGTGTTTTGCCTATTTTAAAGACGTTCTTACTATAGATACCATTTGTTCCAAAAGATTGCAAGTCATTTAAAAAATTAAGTATTATTTTAGGCAGAATCCATGATCATAAAAGTTGGTCAGTGCGAACGAGAAAACAATAAACGATAAATGGGGTCATAAACTGGAAACAAAAAGTTTGCCACATAGCTGTCGTTCGAAACTTTTGAAGTACATGTTTATTACACCTATTCATTGAAATATACAAAAAAATGACCTTTTAGATATCCCTAATCTTACAATTTGCAAGTGTGCAAATTTGTTTTGTATTACTTGTATTTTTAATTATCCATACAACTTTTCTACATGTGGTGTACTTTTAGCCAACATTTGGCTGCATGGAAATAAGAATTTATTAGGCTTCCCGAAGTATTTAAATTTAAACGAAAATTTTAAAGTATTCAAGACTATCTACATCAAATCTGTAAACTGTCAAATTAGACATTTAAAATTTTTAATCATGTCTAAGTAATCTAGAATGTTTATTTTAAAAATTAATTAATTTGACTTGTGATTTACTTTGACTTATATTTATACTCTATTGACTCATAATTATAATCTTAATTTCAATTTTTTTATATTAACATTTTTCACAAATATTTATACACAGAATTGATGTAGAATACACAGTTCCATATTTTAAATAACTTTTTTAATGTATTCTTACACCTTCATGTCAATACATCAATTTCAAAGGTAAGGTCTCAAAAAAAGACCAAACTTGACACACATAGCTCAACTCGTCTGTTAGTTCCAGTAGGAATTCTCGAAGTACACCTTCAGGTCACTCCATCACGTCAGAAGGCAAGGTCTCACCATACCTAACAAAACAAGCCCAAACTCGACACACATAGCTCATCTCGTCTCTTAGTTCCAGTAGCAGTTCTCGAATTACACCTTCAGGTCACTCCATCAAGTCAGAAGGCAAGGTCTCACCATACCTAACAAAACAAGCCCAAACTCGACACACATAGCTCATCTCGTCTGTTAGTTCCAGTAGCAGTTCTCGAAGTACACCTTCAGGTCACTCCATCTAGTCAGAAGGTAAGGTCTCACCATACCTAACAAAACAAGCCCAAACTCGACACACAAGCTCATCTCGTCAAGTTCTAGCAGTTTCCATACCCTCACTCCATCTAGTCAAACAAGGTCTCACCATACCGAACAAAACAAGCCCAAACTCGACACACATAGCTCATCTCGTCTGTTAGTTCCAGTAGCAGTTCTCGAAGTACACCTTCAGGTCACTCCATCTAGTCAGAAGGCAAGGTCTCACCATACCTAACAAAACAAGCCCAAACTCGACACACATAGCTCATCTCGTCTGTTAGTTTACACCTCCAGGTCACTCCATCCAAGGTCTCGCCATACCTAACAAAACAAGCCCAAACTCGACACACATAGCTCATCTCTTAGCAGCAGTTCTCGAAGTACACCTTCAGGTCACTCCATCTAGTCAGAAGGCAAGGTCTCACCATACCTAACAAAACAAGCCCAAACTCGACACACATAGCTCATCTCGTCTGTTAGTTCCAGTAGCAGTTCTCGAAGTACACCTTCAGGTCACTCCATCTAGTCAGAAGGCAAGGTCTCACCATACCTAATAAAACAAGCCCAAACTCGACACACATAGCTCATCTCGTCTGTTAGTTCCAGTAGCAGTTCTCGAAGTACACCTTCAGGTCACTCCATCTAGTCAGAAGGCAAGGTCTCGCCATACCTAATAAAACAAGCCCAAACTCGAAACACATAGCTCATCTCGTCTGTTAGTTCCAGTAGCAGTTCTCGAAGTACACCTTCAGGTCACTCCATCAAGTCCGTAACGAAATATGAACCCCTACTAATTTCTAGTAAAAATATGACAAAGTGTGAATTAAATTTTACTTTTGTCGTTCGTAGTCCGAAGTCCGAACATGATGTATAAAGTATCAACTTTGTTACGACAAATATTTTGTATTCGTACAGCGATCTTTTTCCTCACGAGCTGCTGTTTATAAGCGACACAGTGACCACTCATGACGGCAGCCGAGCGCCGACTAATATTTCTTTAAATATTTTTGTGGAATAAATCAATAAAGTGACCAGTAAAATAACCTTTATGTCAATCACTTAAGATTCACGCGTAAGATATAAATGTGAAAGAAATAAACTTTAATCTTTAATTTTTTCTGAAACTAATTTCAAAAATTTTGATACGTAATGTAGCTACCTTTTTGAGTTGAACATGTGTGCTTACATAAAATATTTTTAAATAAAAAAAATATGTTATTAAATAAGAGAAAAATGTTCCTAAACCCAACAGGATATCGTCCATTTTGAACGAAGTGGCAACGAAAATTCTCATTTACAATATTATAAACCAAAATTTTCGATTAAAAACTATCTACCATTTGAAGATCAAGGAGGGATCTATATGTGATAATTATTACTTACATTATATTCGTTTCGTTTTGCCGCAAAATGTACCTGAAAACCTATTTTTGCAGATTCCGCGAGATTTCGCAAACACGCCCTTAACAACTGCGTCACTGCAAAATTAAATAGTTCATATTGTATCGACTTGGAACTCATATCAGATATAAATTTTGGCTATCTGAACTCTGTGCATGCAATATGCTTAAAAGGGGGGTTCAAAGTAATTTCTTCACGTATTTCATCGATATAACCTGGACCTAAATTGGAAGCTACGATGTTGCTGTGATTTTAAGTTGTCAACGTCAAGCAATGTCATTCATCAGCAAACATTGGCAAGTTTTTTTTACATCGCCCGCGATGGGGGTTTAAGGCTTAATGTTGGATCTAAGCTCAAACACTTTAGTCGTTTTTTTTTTCGGTAGTACCTATTTCCTTCAAGATCCTTTTGACCTGATTTTTTAATTAGAGGTTTAATCATATCATATTCAAAGACACGTTCAATAAATAAACATTGAATCCATACAAAGGAATCATACCCCAAAAATAAAAACCTATGATTTTTTTCAACGCTAAAAGGTATATTAACACGATGCGATGTCCACGCGAAGTGATTCAAAACTGAATCATGATATAAGGGACACCATACACTTTTTAAATATAATTAATCGATTTTATAATCTCTGTAAACGTTTGGTGCACGCGATTGTATATTTTCGTGTCAGGACGTGTTCGGAAGGTGACGCAAGTTAACGGCCTTTTCTTATACCCACGCTTGATATACTTTTTTTATTTCCCATGAACGTAACATAATTCTTAATATTTACACGAAATTTAAGATCAACCAAATAACACAACTAACGGTGTATAGCCAGATATACTATGACAGTTAATGGTGAAAAAAATCATATCTATAAAACTGATTGTTATTAAACCAATACAATATTACAAATAGAAGCTTAACGAGGAACTTCTTCTTTATATCATCTGTTTAAATGAAACATCATACAAGAAAAATATATTATATTGCTATCAACAGTTGAATCTATTAGCACTTGAAAAGTGTGTTCTGTTTCAATGACACTTAGGTTATAATCACAATAATCAAATACAATGAAAAGGAACTCATTCCATTCTCTATTGCTTCGGCGTGATACGATACGCCTCGCCACTCGATATCGATTACAATAACACAAATAAATGCATTAGGTTTCAAATGTCGAACGGTTTCATTTAATAATCTGATTGCATACCCTACGTCACGTAGCAATATTACAACACCTGTATAACTGTAGAAAACCCATCCAGAACTGGTTTCACGTTTGAAATTCGGAAACGAGTTTACGGGCCGCCGCTGATCGGCCGCGAGACGGTTTGGTAGAGAATTCTCGTTCGCGGCCCCATGATTCACCGTCGACTCGAGATCGGGTGTCGATAGCTCTGGTCCCGAGACTGAGATCGGGTCCCCGGTGTCTCCGCGCATTCTTGTGGCCGAGGTCAACGACCGGTGCGAACGCGGTCGTCCTTGGAGCGGCGTGCTCCTTTCTACGCAAACACCTCAGCGGATTGCGGGCCAAGGAGGATGCGGCGCCTTTACCCGCTGACATATAGGAATATTTTTTTAATGTGAGAAAGTGGCAAACAAGCTGGCGGACCACCTGATGTTAAGTGATAACCACTGCCAACGGACATTTGCAACACCGATTGCAGATGTGTTGCCACCTTTTAATAATGTGGGCCCCGACTACCTCACTCACCAGACGAAACGCAGAAGCGTAACAGTACTAATTTACGCCGGTCTTCGGTGAGGTCGTGGTACTTACCCGGACGGACCTGCACATTCGTGCAACAGCGAATACTGTTGCGTGGTACTACCACAGTCATGAAATGCCTTGTTCAACAACACACGGCTTTGAATACGAAACAGATCTAAGAAGCGAAACACGAATGGACCGCTACGTCGCATGGGTCCACTGTTACTTTGTCGACTTAAGGTTTCCTCACGGTTTATCCTATATCGCCACGTATTATTTGATAAAATTGCATTAGAAAGAGACAGTTCATTTTGTAGTAATTTACCACTTCTATAATATTTAATACTTTTATGAACATTTGAAGGTCAAGATTCCAAAGAAAACAAAAACAAATAAACAAGTCCAAACAATAACAGTCCTACGGTTTGCAATCAGCTCAAATAACTTAGCGGGATCAAAAGAGTTCTCACTTTCGTCTGTTTCAGTACATTTAATTGAATGGACAAGTTTCATTGACATTAAGAACAACTTTTTCTTATAACATACCTACGAGTAATTTCATGAGAAGTGTTCAAGTTTAAGCAGAACATTACACGGCCCGCTAGGTTTAACGATCTGATTAATGCTAACAGCCCATGAAATGATTTGAGGATAAACAATTATTATTCTGCCATTAACACACGATAATACAACATATTATAATCAGAAACTCACAGCTGTAGCGTAGTTCGTTACGTGCACGTTACCCCGTGGGTTCGATTCCCACGCGGTATTAATATATTTGCGGACCATAAAGTTGTTACGAGTATTGGTCGCCTTTACGGCACGATTTATTTGTTTCTTTTGTTTTTTTTATCTTAAAATAAATGCTTCGGTTAAAATTCTTGGACTCCATTCCATTCGTATCGAAACATTTTCAGTTGTTAGAAGTAGTTAAGCGTCGATTATTACTACAGAGAATATCCACCTGATTAGATAATAAATGAAATATTTCGTAATATGACAAAGAAGAAGAAGAAGTGGAAGAGGAAGAGAGAGAGAGAGAGAGAGAAAGAGAGACTTTTTTTATGTGAGAAAGTGGCAAACGAGCTAGCGGTTCACCTGTTGTTAAGTGATAATTCGCCGCCCACGGATATTTGCAACACCCGTACATACAGATGAGTTGCCACCTTTTAATAAGTGAGTAAATTAGTGAGCCCCGTCTACCTCACTTACCAGACGAAACGCAGAAGTATAAAACTTCAACTTCACGCCAAAAATAAATGTGTTTTTCTAAGGCCTGTTTATTGTTTAATATAATGCAACAAAAATAATTTTTTTAACTTTTTACCTACCGCAGTATTAAATTTACGAAAATCTACATAGTTTCGTAAAAAAAACAACATTTAAAAAATATAAACATAAAATATATCTCACGAGAAACGCAAACAGAAATATCCCGTGTTACCCAAGCTGCTTCCACTGTGCCATGAGATAATTTCGCAATTCCCTCATTAAAGCCAACCGGCAGACCGCGTGGTTAGGTAAAAAAGAAATGTAATAAACGTGTCGATTACCAGTTTCCCAGCTAAACTTGTCGCCTCAGCAGCTCCGTATATTAATTTTCCCATAAGCATACACGATTTTATTTACTAACTTAAATTATATAAATATATATTCTGTCTCATTTCGTAAAGGTTTTAACAGATTTGGTGGAAACCCGTTAGTTGAACCTTTTTTCAGTGCAAAAAGCCTTCTAAAATAATCGTATCGCCACAAGCGAATCTCACCGTGTCTTTGAAAACAGCGTTATGACGTAAATTGAATCAAAAATAACGCAGACCAATAAACTTTGTACTAATTACAACTGTAGCTTGCCAAAACATATCTCCGAAAGCGTATATTAACTCTTAGTAAAATAAGTTATCTGATTATATCCGGTATATTTGATACACTCTACATTAAAAACATTTTGAACAACAACAATTAACAACTAATATACACACATTGCTGCAATTGAAAAGCTAAAATCAAAAGTAAACCGTGGACTACTACTGCGACCTACTTAGATAACAGCCACGATAACCAATTATTATTACTAAATATAATAAAATATTATCAGAAGGAACTTAATTCAATATCTTATAGATTATCTTAAAGTTGTATAAAATTGCTGCAAAGGTTAGATACTTTAAACTTTCGAGAAATATTCGATCGTATACCGCGCACGAAATATTTACAAAGCGCTCTCAAACTCCTTGGTATAAAGGTTCGTCATCTCGGGTCTGAGTTCAGTTGAAAAAGCCACAGTTCACGAAAGCAAAACCCAAAGACCGCATTCAACGGTACTCGTTCAACTCTGTTTTGCGGAAAAATATCCGACGGAAAAGCATCGTTCCGGTTCGAGTTTTTCTGCACCGCGTTAAACTTTCTAAATCGAGAATAAAACTAAGAAACAATAGAATAAAAGTAAAGATGTCGTGATTGGTGTTGTATATTATTATTATTACTTACTAATAACGACGTTATAATTTTCTAATAATATAATTATCACCAAATATCCAAAAAGTAATTGAATCAAATGAAACGGACGCAATTAATATTTTTATTAGTGAAAAATCCGGACGTTACTGATTGCATGTATATTAATAATATTCATAATTCGTCTTATTTAAAAAAAAGTACTTGCAACTAGAGATTTTCCAGTACATGTGGTAAAAATAACGCTTCGGCTGATTAACGGAGCAAAATTGACGATAGGAAAATAAGACGCGATAATGAATAACACAAACGACATAGACGGACAGAAAGTATGTCAACTATGTTGGCGGTACACCAAAAATTTGGTCCAAAATATGGTTGACCAATATCTGTGAGCATAAATGTTGTTATGAAAATAAAACAGGAACCAATAACGATAATAATATGTAAGGGTGGGGTCATCATAATTTTACTTATTTGCAGGGGCATTTTACTACTTCAATCTCATCCTGCGAACTGTACTGTGGGTTGGTTTCAAATTATAATTTAACTGTTTCATATAATATGATAATCCACAAACACACATCACAATGCTATTTTATATATTATTATAAAAATATTATTATGCCTTTTCCAACTCCACAAATCTCCACAACTCTTTCTCTTCTTCTGGTCTAATTTGTACTCTCACGATCCGGAATATATACAAGGTGGTCGTACTGGTCGCATGTCTTCGTCAAGTCATTCTTTACCGGCATCTTATAAATGTCCAAAATATCTGATATTCCGAAATCCAAATATCTAAGAATTTTTAAATTCTCGGTTTCACTGTTATCTATGCATACGGTGGATTTAAGGTGATAGGGCCACGCAGCAGCCTCGGCTGTTGCACGAATGAGCAGGCTCGTCCGGGTAAGTACCACGACCTCACAGAAGACCGGCGTAAAGTGGAAGTATAAAAGTTTCACGTTTCGTCTGGTGAGTGTGGTAGCCGGAGCCCAATTTTCAAAAGGTTGTCTACCCTTAAGAACCCTCGGGTGTAGCAGATGTCCATGGGCGGCGGTAATCACTTACCATCAGGTGAACCGTCTGCTCGCATGGCACGCATTTTCACATAAAAAAAATGTATGTATCTCGTATTTCTTATGATTACTTATTTCCGTTATAAAGTGATTCCATATCGAAGCTGTAATCTGAGAACTTGTCATAATTACACGACAATTATTTTTTAATACTTTCAAATAGTGTTTCAATATCGGATTTTGAAACTTGTATCTCCGCCAATGGACTGCTTATCGTACGAGTCTGTTGTAAATGATATTTTTTCTACATCTAGTCCCTGGAAAGAAGTGACAACTAGGTTATAAAGCTGTATAGTTGAATATTATATAGCTAGAATGCCTGCGATTCCGTTCAAGAACAAAAAAATAAAAACAGTTTCGTTTACACAACCCTGTAAATGATTACCAAACTATGTAATATATTGGCGCCAATAATATAGATGGATCATGAACATTGTATATTCTTTTTCAATAACACTAGATGAACAACAAATCAATAATACACGAGCGTACAGTATTACTAAGTTATTTAAGATAGTTCACCGTACGCAGTTGACGTCACACAAAAGAGTAATGACGCCATAGTTTAGACAAAGATAAAGTGTTCTATAATGGAGTAGAGCATTCGAACGCTCTGTGAGGCACGTGCCGAGCGATTATCAACGTTATTATAAAACGTGCGTATCGCGTAATAAATAAAATTAACGTGACCATTTATCCCGCACAAAACGCGATTTTATGAATATTACGCGACCAGAAGCAGTTCTGATAACAAAATGACTTTCAGCTCCAACTACAACATCATTATATGTAGCCTTCCTATTTAAATATATAGATGGCATTTATGGAGGTAAACATTGTATACAACAATAATTCTTAATCACGTAATTATATATCAAATAGACTGATGAAAACATCACAAAGTTTGGTGTGATAAATATAAGTGCAGCTAACTGACATAACCAATTACTTCGAAACAAACAAATCGCTTTTACAAAGGTATCTTCGCTTCCGCCCTTTGAGTCTGTAGATACAGGAAATAACCAAATAGGACGAGAACGCACTAAAATTTGAAAAATTAAACTTTCATCTATATGATAAATTAAAACGAAAACTACACAGTTACTTTCAAGTCACTGTGACAAGTAAAGCGATTGGAAACCAGTTAGCTTAATCGTGATTTGACCCATGATTTTATAATTACTATGATCTATTCAAAGGATGCTAGAGGTATTTCAATTACTCGTAACTCACGTATTTCATTAATTGTCGGCCACAACCAAAATAAAAAATTTGTTATCAAGTATTCTTGGAGTATGTTTGTGTCTGCAA